ATATATAGAAATATATGAGATATATATAGATATATATGAGATATATATGAGATAAAAATATATGAGATATCCAAAATACAATATCCATTAAAATATTTAAATTCTCTGTCTAGATTCTACTTTAGTAGATTACTTTCAGAAAAACGTGAATTCGCGTAAAAATCTGCGGTCCGTTAATTTCTTATGTTTTATCTATGTTTTACATTCTTTATCCGCGATACGATACTCATCGTATTTTCAATCATAAAATAACACATACACGTGTTAATTATCTTCGCTACTCATTAAAATTCTTCCCTCTTTCTTCCAGTCAATTCGACAACTATGTAATTACTTCTCACGACGCGGTATGTCATAATGATATTGTACCCCACTCGTTAAACTAACGTATGTCAAAATCCAAGCGGAAACGAACGAGAAAGGAGCAGGAAGCGAAATTTTTGATTTAACTAACCAGTACATCGACCGAGTGATTCAGTGCGATACGAGGTAATCATCGGTTGTATACTCTCGTTACGACAACTTGTACGTACAGCAATTATGAACGTGTTTCATCCGTCAGGAAAGTGCCAATCTCCTTAATGGACATGCCCTCACGATTTCCACTAACCAGAAGGGAACAGATTAGCGTGATCCCGCTACCGAAATACCGAAATTTCAATTGTCATTTTACAATCTTGAATTTTTTTCCACCAGCATGTTAATTGAATCACGCCTATTTTATTATTAATTATATAATTGTACGATTTATATTACATGTGTATATAATGTACACATGCAAATTATATAATGTACATAATTTATAATTTAATTTGTATCACAATTATATTTATGATATATTTCAACGTATTAAATTCGTTTCACCTTTATCATTCGTAGATCGCGTGTGCAATTTTTCTAAAAGAAAGTTCCGTTTTTTTAAATGATCTTTCAAGCAGAGAATTTTCCATCTTATATGTACAGTTCAGCAGGCGAAAAGTATTTGCGAAAAATATTTTTAGATGTTTAGAATATGTGATCACACGAATAAGAACTTCATGTTTTAAACTTGAGATGTTCTTCAATTTCATCGTATTCCAATGCACTCGTTATATTTATCAATCGAATGAAATTTTATTACTGTGCGAGAGTTGTTCTTTCTTATTTAGCCGTCGATTTCGCCTGAGTCATCAGAATCATGCATATTGCATATAAATTACGTATGAAAGACTTTCCGATGTTCGTCAAGTCGACATTTGCGAATGCAAACGAAGAGTAAGCTGTTTACCACTGGCTCATTTTTACACGATTGCAATTAAGGATATTCAGTGTCATATTTCAATGATGCAAATAATAATAATAAATAGTAATTTTATTTTTTTCTATTATTCTATTTATTTTGTAGTACTTGAATATCTCTGAACGAACATGCATGAAAATACGTACTATTTTCTAAGACAGATTTCATCTTCTTTTATTAATATTTTATTTCGTTATCAGTTTCAAATGACAGTAGAAAAATTCGAACACAATCAAACTATTTACACTGACAGTGTTTCAACACCTTTGATGTTGAAGCAACGTTAAAGATATCATTTGAGAAATAATGAAACAATAAAATCCTCTAGAATAAGAAGGAAATTACATCCACGATTAGTACGAATCTCGAAATCTTTATCATCCTATAGAAATATAGAATGTTATACGAACAAGATATGTAAAAACATAATATCTGCCAATTAATCCCATTTAGTGTAAACTAAATCTCACCTTTCTCTCCCTCAATGCCTCCCACTTTCTACATTCTATCGTGGTTTGCAAAATTCTGCTCGTACACACGTTTCAAATCTCCACAGCATTGGAAATGAATCACCGATTGCCGTCACAGTTTCGACACTTCGATCGACTTATAACACACTTTTACACAACCGAGGTACAGTCACGTCGCGCTGTTGAACGAGGTGAACGCACTCGTCGGTGAGAAAGTTCGTGAACCGGGAGAGGACTCGAAGTGGCCGATAGTCGATAGTTTCGAGCGGGATCGCTCGCATCGATCGATTCATCGACTTGTTCGATTGTGCCTGACTGACTGACTTACTGACTGACTGACTGACCAACGATTGTGACTTGCCGACGACGATGTTGCAGCCGCGAAACAGGTGGGGAAACGAAGTGGGGACCGATCCCCCCGGAGAACGAAAGTACTCGTCTCGCATTTAATTGTTTCGAGCCGATCGGTCTGCCGGGGAAAGACGCGAGGAACGGTTTGAAAAAAAAAAAGCCTGACGATGTGATTCGTAGAGAAATGAAATTTCTGGCGGCGGATTCAGAAATTCAATTGCTGATCACGAAATTACAATAGAAAACTAACAAAAATCTAATTAGACACAGTATAGATTCTATAATTTTGCGATCTTATCAACGTTATATAGTTATTGAAACTACTTGTCTGCTCATTGTTATGATCTATATAGTTATGGTCTAACCCAGGGCAATTCAGTTTTAGATCATTTGGTGGTTGATAGCGTAACTTGGCTCGAATAAACTCTTGCTGGTTGAATCTGCTTATTTGAATCTGACCTCGTAGTATAAATATTGCATACAAAGTATCACACATTATGTGTAAAATATTTTATAAATATTATTACAAAAAATAGCTAATAAAATGGAGAATTGGTGGATTCCAATTATATAAACTATTTATTCCCCGACAACTTCATTCAAATGAAGTTTTATTGCTGTAAATTAATGACCTAGTAAATAATAACAATACTAGTAAATAGTAAATAAATTAGTAAATTATCAAATTGAGAAATTACTAATTACTAAATTAGCTAGTTGCTTATTATTAGTGACAGATCACCGTGGGAAGTCGAAATAATTGTTTTGTATTTTTCCTAGTGATAAGAAAATCATTATAATTTATATTGCTTTCAGCAACCATTTCTGCGAAAGTTTCGTTGCGCAAATTTCATTACTGGAACGTAAGAAAAGCCTGAGAAATTCCAAATAGTTTCACGTTACGTCTGATTACTCGGAACATTTACATTAAAAAAACTGGTAAGCACAAATGGAAACTTGCCAGGATTTAATTAATAATTAGTTATTAAATTAAATTGGCAAATTGGTAAGTCAAATTAGTATGTTAAATTAAATGGGCAAATTACTAAATACTGGATTAGTTAGTTGGCCAATTTATTATTATTAATAAGTAGTTCTATCATTTATATCTTGTATATTTGATAAGTAGTTTTATTAATTACAGAAAAAAACGAACACAGCAATTGTTTTAAGTGACAGGGAAAGGATTTTGAAAATGCGATGAATGAAATCGAGGTGAAACTGAAGAAAATCAAGATAATTTTTCTTCAATAGTAAGTGAAAGAAAAAATAAAAAATAAAAATATTTGCTTGGGAAATCGAAGTGAGACGAGGAAAAAATATTTATGAAACTAAGATATAAGAATTGTGGGAACATGTGCGTGAAAATAAATTATTTTTGCAAGAATAATTTTATCAGAAAAGCCAACGTGAGCAATCGTTCGGACCAAAGTATATCCGTGATATGAATAATAACGTAAATAAAAAGCATGATATCTAATTGTGAAGAACGTAGCAAATGTTAAGATAATTCTCTGAAAGAAAAGAGAAGTTGAGAAACTTGATGATAAATGTTTGATTTGAAAACCAGTGGAAGAATAAAGAATTTAAAAGGAAAGGAATTTTAAAGAAAATCAATGGAACTTTTGTACAATGACTGTATCAGAGTCAAAATGAACTGGTGTATACTAGTATATATATATTTGTCGTTTAAGAAAGAAAGAAAAGGTGCTTGATATTAGTTAACGTTATTGGTTACAAAAATTATTGGTTGCAATAAAATGCAAATTGAAACCAACAGCTGGATGAAGGAAGAAAAAAGATAATCAATTTCTGTCACAGACAACTTAAAGTCTTGATGTTATTGAACATTTGAAATAAAAGCTAAATATTACTAACTACTGATGGAAATTCAAGAGAAATTTAATACTAGAATTACCAATGATTAATTTATAATTTTTCGTAAAATATATTTCACTGTCATCATTTATTATTATTATTTTATAAATTCTTGGTTCATTATTTAAAAATTAATATTTATTAACGTTGTCCTAGAAAGTCCTACTTTATTTCTATTTATTCGTTATTTTATAAATAAAAAAATGTTCTTCGTTGCGTGTCAAATCTTTCCCTACGTATCGTGCTTCAATTGTTTTTCAAGATTTCAGATAGATTTCTCTGATTGATATCATTCAAGATTGAACAAATTTCAAATTGTATTGGAATTCAAAGACAAAGTACAAGATTCTACCAGATATTAAAATCGATTCGCAAAAAAGATTTTCTCAACTTTTTCTATCGTACAATAAATGATAGTTTGACAAAACGTTCATTTCATTCGACGATACTGTGCAGTAAGAACAATATTTGATTTGAACTACGATCGAAAAGAAGTAACGACAAACACATGAAATCTGACGGAGGAAAGTGTCGAGTGCAAAAGTTGAAAGTAGGTTTTAGAAAGTTGCACACACGCGAAAATGAAAATTCGTGCTGCATTCAATCGAGGAAATTTCGCTTCGCGAGAACGAAAGATATTCGAAGAAGCGTGTGCACTTTCTTGGTGTTAGTTCTCTCACGTTAGTTTTCGAAGTTAGTATTGCGTAGCTATATCATTCACTACTAGCATACATTTAACTGACAATTTTCGGTTGTAACAATTTAAATTATAATTAAAAATCACTCTAAATTGCTCTGAATTAATTTTGGAATTCTTTATTTCATCGAGTTTTTCATGCTTTACCATTCAATGGATGGAGAATGTAAAATATAAACTACTGCAACATCAAATGCCTTGAATTTTGATGTAAATTAAAATTATTGTCATTATTGATGTAAATTAAAATTATTGTCATCCATGATCTAACGACAATACTTGAAGATTGATGGTACTGCTTAAGAGCTAAGCATGGAATAATTTCAGACTTATATTTACAAATTTACATGTATGTGTGGCGCAAATTCTACTCTAAAATTGGGAAACGTAGAAAAAGTCTGAAAATAGATTGCCACTGGATCATTCTACGTTACGTTCGATTACTAGAGTATTTTGATTGCATCAGAAGAACAAGTAAACAAAAATGGAAACTCGTTACAATTGCAAGACAGATCGTTTCAGATTAACAATTAGCCGGTCACTTTCACTCCATGTTTCATTTCTCTAGATTTTTCTCCCTCTTTCTATTTTCTTTCTCTTTTCCTTTCCTTTTTTGTCTATCGTCAATCAACGGACGATAATTAATTGAAATCTCCGGATGCTTGGCACTACGAAAAGTGACAAGTTGAGGAAGAAAGTTGTTCGGAGCAGCTGATTCACTGTTTCCCTTTCCGATGAAAATCCATGAAAATCTGCAGTCTTCTTCTACCCCCCTTTTTTCTCTTTCTTTCAACTGTTTAAGTCTAGCGAGTTTCCAGCTGTGAAAACGACTAATCTAATATAAATATATTGTTGAATGAAGGAGAAGCTTTTATTCTTTTATACTTTTAAAAACAGAGATAAACAAACAAGAATTGGCCTTCATTTTAATCAGACGTTGCTCATATTAATATTCGAACACTAAATGTATTTAAATTGTTATAATTGTTAATAATTTCCTAAAAAAAAAATTCAACAGCAATAAATCTGGGTTCATTTTTAAAGGTTGAAGCTTCTGCTTTCAAAATACACTGTTCATTTTATCCCAAAATGTTGTCACGCAACGAATGGACTTCTTAAAATGCTATAAATTGTCATAGTATATGAAAATATTGAAAAATTTTTTTTATGGTGGAATCTACAATGGATTTCAAGATTGAAG